AATAAAAATACGTGTCTAATGTTTTTAAATAATCTACCAGACGGACATTTAAATAAAAATTAGTCACCTACCCTAATTAAGAGCTAGCCATTTTAGAGCTTAGAGCACTTTCAATTTTTTTTAGTATTTTTTTTAGCATTCTTACAAAATCTTAACATTTACAAAAAATATTAATTGTTACTTTTCTAAAATGCTGAGCATTTAACGGATGTCTAATATGAGTCTTAAAATTGCTGAAAAGTGGTTAAAATAATTAATTAATTCATCTGAAATATTTTGAATTAATCATCCGTGTAGTAATTGATTCGATTTTATACTTAATTTTTTAATTCTTCTAGCTATACTTGTTGACGTAATCAGTCTCTTATAAAATGCATTGAACATTATTTTATCAATATTGAATTTGACTGTTTGGACACATCCTTATTCCAAAAATCTAACTAAAATAAAAACAAACGAAATATTTACGCTTTTACGCACGCAATACAAACTAGGCAGCCATTATTACCTATCCCACAGATAAAACATAAAACAGTACTAAATTACATTTACAAGGAACGCTTTAAAACAGCCTACTAACTATTACAATTTAACCTACATTAATTATAATGTAGGTTATGCTTAGAAGCTATTAAGCTTCTAAGTTAAAATAAAAAACGCATGTATTATATAGGTTAGAAAGTATTGATTTTGTTGTACGGAGAGAGAGAGATAGAGCATATCAGCTGTCTGTCAACCCGCGCGTAAAGGTTCATTTACACAAGTGGCAAATCTCAATAGGCTGAATGTCGATATTTCCGTGGCTTGTCAAAAAATAGCGGGCTAGCAATGGCAAGATGGCGGAGATTTTTAATGTTAATTTAATTGTTTACATTGTTATAAATATCAAACTTATAAGTGTTACTAAAAACTGGATTCAGATTAAAAAAATCGTTTTGCCATTAGAGAATTTTGGTTATGTTTATATATGTATAGTTTATTTAACATATTCATTTAGTTTGCAATAAAATAATGATACGAATATGATAATAATATTTCCATTACACTTTCATGGTATTTTCCAACTACAAATTAAACACTTATTTTTCAAAATATGTATCAAAAAGCTATATTTTAAATAGTGTGTTTATGCCCTAAATGTCCCATATTGCATCGATCATATAAAATCCAATAACAAAAATATAAACTACTACTTTATGACTTCGTAACACAAACCAATGTAAACCAAAACCTATCCTAGACTTTGTATGCAAACGAAACATCTAACCGTTAGATCAACATCACCTCCATCATTCTGGGTACAGCCACACTCTATCCACCTCCCACAGTCCTCTTCCAGTGACTTCCAGTACCAGATCAATACTGTATACTGATACAATACAGACATCGCGTAGCCACTTACTACGAGATCTCTACGACTTGCTACGAGCCTACGAGAAATTACTTATAAATATTTTTGTCATTCTCAGTGCCATTTTGGTAGCTAACTTAAAAATATAGTAAGGAGTTTTGATTAAGAAAAAAGTAATCTTACTAATCACTACATAGTATAAAACAAAGTCGCTATCCGCCGTCTGTCTGTCCCTATGTATGCTTAGATCTTTAGAACTACGCAACGGATTTTGATGCAGTTTTTTTATTAGATAAAGTGATTCTTAAGAAAGTATTTTATGTATAATACATGCATATTGCATCCATGTGAAGCCGGGGCGGGTCGCTAGTAGCTGAGAAATTACAATTGTTTTCTGTATAATATGACACCAGCCACGGCCTTTATTACATGGGACTCATATCATAATACAAAAGTGGATGTTACATTGGTACACATCTGTCTACACCTCTGTCGATAACGCGGCGTGATAATAATTATTATATTACTAGCGACCCGCCCCGGCTTCGCACGGGTGCGATATGCATGTTTTATACATATAAACCTTCCTTAAGAATCACTCTATCTATTAAAATAAACCGCATCAAAATCCGTTGCGTAGTTTTAAAGATCTAAGCATACATACGGACAAACAGACGGCGGATAGCGACTTTGTTTTATACTATGTAGTGATGTTTTTATGTCCGATAATATTGTATTACATTGTACAGTTTAAGTTACTTATCTAAATGAGATCAATAGTAACATATATATATATTCTTATCAGTGCTGCGTTAACCATGTGTTAAATCTAGGTCAAAAATAACTTGCAGCGGTTAAAATTTTACAGTAAATCTATTGACGTAGATTTACAACTTTGCCAGAGTCTGTGTTTCCTGAAGGGTATAACCTGATTGTCTTCAAGGCCCGAGTGAATAGGTTGCTATAGGACGACGTGCTCCATCGTAGACCGCATCATCGCGTACAACCAGGCGACATATTGGTCAAACGTCGACATATATTGTGGGAGAGCCATACTTCGGCACGAATGGGCCGGCTCGACCGGAGTGATAGCACGGCCTCACAGAAAACCGACGTGAAACAACGCTTGCGTTGTGTTTCGTCGTGTGAGTGAGGTTACCGGAGGCCCAATTACCCTCCCCTTCCCCAATCTCCCCAATCTCCCCAATCCCTAAATACCCAACGATCCTCAAACTCCTAATCCCCAAAAGGCCGGTAACACACTTTTAACACCTCTGGTGTTGCAGGTATCCATGGGCGACGCCGTTTGCTTACCATCAGGTGATCCGTCTGCTCGTTTACCGGCAAATTCCATAAAAAAAAATCTACAAACATTACGACATTTATCAACCTCTCCTAAATATTAAGGCTGTAAGCTGAGATAAGTGACATTTTACAACGTTTTGGCTTTGACCAGTATATAAGTGACAACAGTACCTACACATAAGAGGTTAGTTTTTTTTAAGGGGAGAAAATCATCGAATGTCTGCTCCCGCCTGGGTGAGGTGGGAGGGAGTGTCAGACTCTTACTGACTAAAAACCACCCCGTTCCTTCTCCTGCACGTCGAGCCAGATAAGAGGTTAGTTTAGGTGACACGTCACGCTAATTAGCTTAGTTAAGAGATGGTTTGAGAGGCAGAGATACGCGTTAGATATATGTAACACCTACTTTCAACCATTTATGGTATAGTTTCCATGTAATAGGAAGCGAAATTGAACACGCCTTAAAACTGAAAAGCTACTAAATTTTAAGTTGTACTTAAACATCATGCCGTCTCTATCATTTTACATAGAAATTATAGTGACAGAACTATATAATATGTACGTATATGTACTGTTCATATAACTTATGAATTCACTCAAATAAATAACAAATGAAAGTGAATATTTAGAAGTTTATTTAAAAAAAATATCGTAGAACGAGTTTTTAAATAGTAATTTTATTTTAATGTAATTAATGAAAAAAAATTGAATCCCTTTTTCCCTTGATCACGGCATCACACGTGAAAGGCTGGACCGATTTCACTAATTCGTTTTTTGTTGTATTTGTTATTGCCAGAAGAAGATTCTTATGATAGAAAATAATCCTGAAAATCTTATGGGAATGGAAGGAAACCGGATTGCGCGTACGAAATCGCGGGCAGAACCTAGTACATATAAAAATGAATCTCTTTCTTCCCCTGATAACGGCATCACGCGTGAATGTCTGGACCGATTTCACTAATTCTTTTTTTATTGTATTTGTTATTATTAGGAGAAGGTTCTTAAGAGAGAAAAAACCCTGAAATGCCTATAGGAATGGGAGAAAACAGGATTGCGCGTACGAAGTCGCGGGCAGAAGCTAGTTACACATAACGCCTTTCACACCCCGCAGGCATATACACTTGGGAGCAAACAAACAGACCTATTAGCGTTTATTCATTTTCATTTCGTAATACATATTTTCTGATACAAATATTTTATTAATTGGAAACGTATGTCGTATAAAAGGTAATTTAATAACCTTTACAATGAGACCGTTCTGTTGTAAAAGGATTATTTTATTCTTAAAGTTATAGAGGCTTCAATCAAATGAAAAATACGCTAGTGGCTTCGATTTATTTGCTCCCAATACAAGTGTACAATGTAACACTCACTTTTCACTATTTATGTTATGAGTCCCATGTAATTCGGGGTGAGTCTATTGCCATTAATTGCTGCTGCCAATAGAAAACTATTGAAGGCAATTCCTTCGCTAACGCCGGTCGCTGATAACCCCTATAGCGTTTAACGTGTTAAAATATTATACAATGTAATAAAATACGTATTTTTCTCTACAAACTTAGTCTGAGTATATAAAATTTTCAGCGAAAAATCACTCCCTGAATTATTTCAGATTAAAAGTACGTTGATTTCAAATATTTATTCATAGGGTGAATTAATTTGAAACCTAATTTAATACCACGTTAAATTCAAATTATTACGTTTCTCCCTGAAAATTTGCATTTTTTTATAACTATTGCGTCTGAAATCACGTGATTTTGGTACTTATTAGACACTACGTCTTTTATTTTTTTTATATATATTTTTTTTGTAAATATGTGCTGGTTTATCTATTTACTTTGGCATTTACTTAAGAAATAAATAATTATGTTGATTCCAAGTTACGTGTTAACTGAAACTTAATACCGAAATAATTCTAAAAAAACTACGTTAAGTTACTACTTCGTTATTAAAACAACTGCCAACTGAAATAGGTAATTTTGACTATACTATAAATACAAGAGAACATACGTTTAAAAAAATCCATCCACATCATCATCACCTACAATACTACCTAACTAATTTTTTAAAAACTGTTTTTAAATTACGAACGACACGATCGACACAATTAAAAAAAAATCAGCATCGGTTCAATAAATCCTCTTCGTGAACAGACCAATTAAGTATTAAAATTAGAATAGATACTCCAACTGTGAAATAACCAATAGAAATTGCAAACAGTATCAATTCAGCCTGAATACACCACAACAATTACATCTGCACAAATGCTAATGTAACACGTATTTGATGCCTGACAACGTAGCGATGGTAATACTCATTTTCATACGTGGTTTAAAAATGTACTTACTTGGTACGTTTCATCAGGTTTTCCAGGGTAAGATGCACTCCTACGGTAGTCCGGAGGCCGTGGCGGCGCTGGAGCCCTTCTCCACGGAGCAAAGGCCGAGGGCTGAGGTGCTTGTGGCGCGGGCCACCTGTACTGAGGCGCCCTACGGAAAGGCGCTCTGTACTGTCTCTCGTCATCAGCAACGCTTGGAGCCCCTGGGTATTGCAGTTCGCCCATTTAGACATGCGTCCAACCGTGGCGGCGGTCGGACTCGAACTAGCGATAACATATCGGTCGATGTAGGATGCGCGCGCATGCCGCGTTCCGTATTTGAATTCAGGGGACAAAAAGTATTTATTACAATTTTTTTATTCGTACCAACCTCTCTTGTTTTTTTTTAAATTTCGAGTTTAACCATAAGCTAGATCGCAATATGGCGGAGAAAGAAAATGTCAGATTTTCTTTTTTAGTTTCCCCTGTTACCTAAATGTTTCGGTCACAATGCAGTGTTTTAACACACACACACACATACACATTGATACAGCCACGCTTTACACATACTTTGATAGGCTGAAACTACTGAAATATTTGTTGAAATTACTGTTTTACAAGACTTGTAAATTATTTGCTTTAAGTTAAATTACTTTATAATGAATTAGGTTATTAACTTTGTCTCTATTGCGTGGCATAGTGGCCTATATTCGTAGTTTATGTATACATACCCATATTGGTACTATAATTTAACGCTTAATTAGATTTTATGTGTCATTATCATCGGAAAACCGCAAAAACCGAATCTCAATTATGAATCTAATCAATATTTATTTCCTTTCAAAATTACATGCTTATATAATTACCGTTTTGAACGACATTTTACCTTATAAGTTAAACTTATTAAAATTAACATAAGTACTTAAAAAAGTAGTTCTTTTTGAAAAACAACAACACATTAATGAAAACGTTACGTAGGAAGGGAGATGGAGAGAGACAAACGTATTGCTGTCTCATTCACTCTCAATACCACATTTTCTTTCACGCTGTATGAAAGAAAATGTCATAACTTAAGTGGGTGTGACGTCACACTCTAATGATACGCCTCATTAGTCGCTACTTAGGTATCGTCATGAGCTAATGTTCATATGTAAACAGCAACTCATGTAAAGAGATTATCCAGTCAACTGATGGTAGCGGTGACTGTCCAGGCGACACACGTACTTAGGTATCGTCATGAGCTAATGTTCACATGTAAACAGCAGCTCATGTAAAGAGATTGTCCAGTCAACTGATGGTAGCGGTGACTGTCCAGGCGACACACGTACTTAGGTATCGTCATGAGCTAATGTTCACATGTAAACAGCAGCTCATGTAAAGAGATTGTCCAGTCAACTGATGGTAGCGGTGACTGTCCAGGCGACACACGTACTTAAGCTAGAGATTAGCAGTTGGAATAGGATTGGACCTCCACTACCCTCACTCACATAGCATGTAGCGTAGAAGAATAAATCTCCTAAATGATCGCAATTTGTGGATCACACAAACATTTTGTAGCTTGCGGAAATCGAACCCCCGTGATACGTTGCGCAGCAGCCGATTACTGCGCAACTATATCACTCAATCAGTCGAAGAAATTTACGAAAAACCGAAAAACCTCATCATGGAATAGATTATTTTTTATTAAAAAAAACAACATCTCTATTTATTAGTACCAGCTAGCTGCATACATTCAAATTCAAAGAGAGAACTACCTACGAAATAAAACAAAACATTGTCTACGGCACCCATTTATTTTTTAAACAAGATATTACAAGGACATTTCCATTCAGCTTATGTAAGTTCCAACCAAAAAGGTTTTTCTTTAATGACCATTCTCTTTGCCTGCATTGCAGAGGATACGATGCGTAGAAATTAAACTTAGATAGGCGGAAACTATATTTATTTTTTATGGAATAAGGCAGCCAAAGAGCACACGGATTACCTGGTGGTAAGTAACAGCGTTGCCCATGGAAACCCGCAACACCAGAGAAGTCATCAGTGCGTTGCCGTGCTTTTGGAGCTTAGGAATTAGGCGATTTGGGAATTTGTAGGGCTTTCGATAACCTCACTAACACGACGAATAATAGCGTTGTAAATACGAGCGACTTAGCGGGTTATCGAGGATCCAGCAATGCGAGACTCGAAGCAGAAGTAGGAACGGAGTGGTGTTTAGTCAGTAAGAGTTTAATACTCCCTCTTGCCTTACCCAAGGCGGGAGAAGTCATTTGTTGATTAAGTATGCCTCCTCAAAAAAAGCAGTGTAAATAGTATTGAAGTATACTAGTTAATATTTTATCTTCTTTTATCTTTTTTTATATAAAGCGGAAGATTTTTTTTGTTTGAACGCGTTAATCTCCGTAACTACAAGTCTGATTTGAATAATTATATTTGTGTTGGATAGCGCATTTATCGAGGATGGCTATAGGCTATAAAACATCACGCTACTACCAATAGGAGCTGAGCAGAGCGTGTGAAACCGCGCGGAAGTTGTTAGTTATATTATAAATGCAAAAATGTGTGTATTTTACGTCAAAACAGCTAACAGGATTGGGATAAAAGGAACAGGTGTAGATCATGGTCTGAAATAACAAATAGGTTAACCTTTTATTCCACGGGAACGCGGGCGAAGCCGCGGGCAGCAGCTAGTAAATAATAAATGTGCTTATACATATTATTATGCAGTTCCAATACTGAGAATAACAGCTAATGGTGTCCAAGAAATCAATATTTCTGCAAGGTTACGCCGCCCTTGCTGTCTATGAGTGGGCAGTTTTCATTCCAATATTTAAACTAAAATCGTGTGATGACGGCAAAGTATACATTTCTCACCACCTCACCTCTTCCCGTGGGTACCATCTGGACCGAATAAAGGACTACACAGCCACCGAGTTATAGATAGCAGTATGAGTAGATAATATTACCGGAGGACCCACCTCCCAACCCAACACACTTGTTATTCCTCTGGTGTTACGGGTGTCTATGGGCAGCGCTGAAAAAAACATACATGATAAAGGTTATCAAGCATATAAACTTCATAATATTAATGCCATCCGTTCGCCACACTAGCCACTGAAAAAAAGAAACATAATACTTAAATGTTTTCAAGCATAGAAACTTCATAATCTCAAAAGATTTTATAAAAGCTTCAATTTCTTAAACGTCTACGTAACATTGAAACAACTCCACATGGCGCTATCAAAGTGACATATTTCTAGTATTTTTCGCCGTCCGAATCGTTTCCGTATCGTGTACGGCCCGAAACCGGCAAAGCAGGTCACTAGATTGCGGTAACTACCACATGCAGTAGACATAATGCGGACAACAGGCCACTGCGTCCTTCAAACTACGGAACTTACAGGGAATACAGATTATAAATAATTTTGGTTAAATATTTAGGCAGAATGCGTAGTTGTCGTAGTCGTTTATATTTATTGGCTCTGGTTTTTTAAGTTTTTAATATTTGGCGGGAATTTGTTATGATTTGTGATTGAAGTTTTGTGTTTATGGTGTTTTTGGTGTAGAGCTTTTTTACTTATAAATAAGTGTGGGATTTTGAAGCTTCTCGCGATCGCGAGGAGATCTAGATAATATCATTCATTTGTTAAATAAAATCATTGCTTGCCTCTTGCACCTAAGTACCATTTACTCTTCTCTGCATCACCCAAAGGTCAGACTGGTAGAAAATGCCTCTATTTGTACATTTTGTGTATGAAGCATATCCTTTCTAATATTATAAATCGGAAAGTGAATTTGTTTGTTTGTTTGTTCCACTTTAACACCGTAGCTACTAAACCGATTGCTTTGAATTTTGCAGACGTAAAGTTAGAAGTCTGGATTAAATAATAGGGTACTTTTTATCCCGGAAAACATTTGGTATTCTCGAAAAAAAAACGAAATTATTGGTATAGATGGCGCTGTGTGTATTGGGTATATGTTACATAGGCTACTTTTTATCCTTTTGTGATGCGTGCGAAGCCGCGGGTAAAAGCTAGTTAAATATATAAATAAAAATAAAGGAATATCCTGATAGATAAAAATATTACTCCCTGAATAGCAATTAGATACATCTTACAGCACCCGTCATTATTACGCAAAATAAAAATGTAGGCCATCATAATAAATGAGATGATTTTGTTAAATTTAAAGTAAACTTAAAGTAAGTTGTAGTTAATTACACTGTGGTATTGTTTGCGCTTGCATCATTGATTGAGCAAAGGTTCTAGTTCTAGGGATAGATTCCCGAACCGTAGGGCAAGCGGTAAGCTAGGTAGTACCTCCCCGTCACAGATTTAAAAAACCAAAAACTAATAACAAACAAAAAGTCAAAACTAAAAAGCAAAAAATAACTATTATTAGTACTGATATGGTACTGATAGGTTACCCACCCACTGATAGGTAAGAAGTCGGTGCCATCGGCGCGAACAAACAAAAAAAAAACAATCAGCCGAACATAGTACCTCCTCCTTTTTTGAAGTCGGTAAAAATAGGATGTGAGGTGTACGTTTCATGTTATATTTTTTTATTTGATTATTTATTTTAGACTTCATAGGCCCACATCGTCATTACTTTTTTAATTAATTATTTTTTTTGTTAGCGTTACTGAATGTTAGCGAAGTAGGTAGTATTTTTATTAGATAATAGGGCGGCAAACGCACCACATGACAGTAAGCAATCGGTGGACACCCGAAACATCATGAGAGTAATAGTAATTGCGTTGCCGGTTCTTTGGGAATAGGTATTTAGAGATCAGAAATTGGAAGGGGGAAGATTGGACCTCTGGTAACATGGTGAACCACGCAAGCGTACGCTGGTTTTCTATGAGACTATTGTAATTAAAATAATTTTGTATCATTAAAATTTTGCAACCAAACTCGCTATTTATCTCCACAAGGCGTGAGCCGTTCAAATGTCTATGCATAATATAGTATAACGCGCATAATAGATCTGAACTGAGTCACTGTGTCAATGTAAACAGCAATATAATTAAATAATCTTTGTAACCGCATGCATACAGCAGTTGATGTGCCACCATTGTTGAAAACAATAGCAACAGTATTGTGTGGAAATTCCGGTAGATGGCGACTGTTTGTGTTTCGGAAAAGCCACGAGAGATGGCGCTATTCTAAATATGTTACAAAGATTAAGAATTTAAGTATCATTGTTTTGTTTATGTTAACTTTAACTTTTGTTTTAATTCCAAACAAGTATTTTTATGGATATAAACATGAATATTGAAACGTTTATTGATTTTTTAATTATAACTGGCTGTTTATTGATAAACTTCAATCTAATTTTAGATATTTTGACATGTTTGTCAACCGAAATGTCAATGTCAAACTCTATCAAAACAAAGTGGTAATGGTAAAAAACTGTGTACATTCGTTTTTCAATAAATAATGGTTGAAATGACTGAACTAACTATTTTATCGACAATAAAATGCAAGCAGCAAGTAGTTCGCGCCGTCAGGTTCAACGTAGATGGGACATACTGCCTCACATGTGGCGCAGACAAAAAAATAAAGCTTTGGAACCCACATCGACAAATTCTATTAAAAACCTATGGAGGACATGGTAACGAGGTGTTAGACGCGGCCGGATCCTGTGATAGCAGTCAGATAATATCGTGTAGTACTGATAAATCGGTTATCTTATGGGATGTAACTACAGGACAACCTTTACGACGATATCGTGGCCATGCAGGCTCTGTAACTTGCATAAAATACAATGAAGAATCCACAATGGCAGTTTCAGGATCAATAGACAATACAGTATGTTTTTGGGACGTGATCAGCCGTAGACAAGAACCAGTACAAGTTTTAAAAGATGCAAAAGACACGATCACATCTATACAGGTTACTGACCATGAAGTTTTGACTACATCTGTGGATAGCCACGTGAGGCTGTATGATATTCGTGTTGGAAAGATGATTTCTGACTACATCGGCCATATTATTACTTATGGGAACCTAACAAGAGATGGCCAATGTTATATATTAAGTTGTGCAGATAATACAATAAAATTATTTGATAAGGAATCCGGAGAAATATTAAATACCTTTGTTGGGCATGAGTGCAAAGATTATTTGTTAGAAAATGCTGTGAATGAGAAAGACAGTCATATAATATGTGGTTCTGCTACTGGAGAGGTTTTTTATTATGATTTAATAAGTAGTAAATGTACTCAGAAGTTGAGGCATAGTGAAAATAGACCCGTTGTGTCGTTGAACCATCATCCAACTGATAACTTTTTAATTACGGCTTGTGAGGATGAAATCAAGTTGTGGGGAGTACAGACAATGGAAGAATAGATGTTTCATTCTTTATTTTCTAGTTTTATTTAATTTTTTCCTTGCATTATGTGCTGAATATTATGATTCACAAACCAATTTTAGTAATCTTGTATGTTGTGATAATTTAGTCTGGCAGTTAAAGGAGGTACACAAACATACACATTTAAACTTAAAACAAGCAATATGGTCTACAATGTACAGTGCCCAGCAGGTCATCCTATCCTTTTCAATCAATTACATCTTCAACTTTATTGTTACTGAACCTAGAGTCGAAAATACTGCCTGCTGTACAACTAATAAAAACTTGAAGTCATACAAATAGAAAATCAATTTTTTTTCTTATTCTTTTTTATTTTTGTTTTTTATCAAGTCTAATATTGTGTTGTAAAACAAAGAGTATATTATAACAATAAACAAAGAGTGTAAAGATATACATTTATATCCTTACCTAAGAAGATTTAAATTTCGCGGGCTACTTTGAAGCGGATAAGCCTGTGTTGTACCATATAAATTCATATAGTAAATCCATTGTCAATAGGTAATTTTTTTCATATTTCACACAACACATAAAAACCAATGATTTAAAGATTCTATGTGATTGTCTATGGGTAGAATTCAAGACGTATTTCGACGGTCAATTTATTATAATAAACATACATACTGTTATTTCTCATTAATGTCTCTTTGCTTAGAAAGAGACAACTCATCATTTTTACTCTGGCAATAACATTGTGACGTCATCAAAATGCCGCGGTGCAGAATTTGTCACCCACTACTGCCATTACACGGCACCAAATCTCTAAGTAGTCTGTGCACGGCACTGTTATCAGTGTATGTCACTGTCAGTAGTTAGTAGTTCAGCTGTCAAAGCATAAGTTACTATAACTTTATTCGAAAATATTGTCATAGTATATTGTAGTGTTCGTGTTGTTTTTGTGCGAGATAAAAGGTTAGTGACGAGAAAGATGCCCGGGTGTAGTATTATTGGATGTGACACCAGAAATGTTACCAAATTGGAAGGTGTAACAATACATCGGTAAGTACTGCTTTACTTAATTCATTAAAATATCTTAAAGTAATGAAGTGTACTGCAAATAGACTAAATACAATACATACTTTTCTATCAAATGCTGTGCTTTTTTTCAATAATTTTAGTTGAAATACGTCTTAAAACTTTTTCTTTGCAAAATAGTGATGTACAAAGTTGTTGCCTTGTCGATGTAATTTAATCTTACTTATGCATTTATTACACACACTGAAAAATAAAATGTGTTGATTGGATGTAATGACGAAACCCAAGGAATTACATAATCTTATTAATTAATTGTATACATAGAAAATAAAGAAAAAGGCCTGCAGATTAGAGAAATCGATTTTAAATTTTTAGCAATCGATTATCAAACACCGCTCGAGGGACTTGAATGAAGTAAACAAATTAAATGCAATATAACTTGAAGATATTTTGAGCGTATTTGTTAAAATACGATAGAGTCTGCTTAACATACATATATATCCTCACGTCTGTCTCCCTTGCAAATAGGAAGAGGCTATGAACCGCCAATTGCTACAATTCTTTCATATCTCTTTCATGAAAAGACTGATGATACGATAAAAGATAATAACTTTAATAAATTTTCTTTTTAGTTTGCCTGTGATTGAACCAAACAGAAGTGCTTGGTTGAAGATAATTGGTGTGGAGAACATACACATGAGAAAAAAATACGTCTATGTTTGCTCACTTCATTTCGAAGACTCCTGTTTTAATCGAACAATGCATATAGTCAAACTACGTGATGGCGCTCTACCGTCACAAAGTCTATTGGTAAATCATAACACAACCTACCCATTACGTATTTTGTTCTTGTATTAGTTTGAGAAGCATTATTTTGAAGAGGCGGCCTACAAACCTTATATTAAACTAGCTAATTCCGCGCGAGTTCACCCTTTCTGTTCGGCGCGTATTGGTTGTAACGTAATATTTTATAGCCTATATAGCCTTACTCGATAAATGTACTATCCAACACAAAAAAAACTAAGAAGTAAGATAAGTGTAAGATATAAGATATAATTTTCTAGAAATTTGTATTTACCCAATAACAATAAGAATCATTTAACATATTTCGCATGTTGCAGCCCTCAACTAGACCAAAAGTCTCTGGTGTAGTGTCTGAAAGAGACCACAATGAAGTTACAACTCAAGATCCTTTGGTGAGTGTTTTCAGAAGACAATTGGGATGATGACAGGATATGAAAATTAAAAAACTAATTGGTCCGTAAGTTAGGTAATGAAAAAATATTAGACACGTATTTTTTTATTTTGTCTTGTAATAAAACAATACTTAGATAAAACGTATCAAAGTTTAGGAGTGGGGTCTAAAACGTCATTTCTACGTATGAAATGCACATCGAAGTGACGTCACGCGACATTTCAAATCAATATATCGTCAAAAGTATTCGTTTCTGTGAGAAAATAAAACATACGTGTCTAATGATTTAAAATAATTACCAGACGGACATTGAAGTAAAAATTTGGCGTCTACCCTATTATTAATTTGAAAAGTCATTCTTAACTATTTAAAACTAATTAAATGTTTGTTTGTCACGCAATAACTACTAAATAGATCTTGCTAATAATTATTTGGAATAGAGTGAACTCAGTATTAAAATATGTCACAGGAAACGAATTTCGCGCGGACGTATACGCGGGTGGTAGCTACTTAAAAGCAAAGCTGGATAAATAATAAAATTAAGAGCATTTATTGATAATTCAATTAAAACTAATAAAAACTGTCACCAAAATAATTATAGTACTTAATAAAAATATCGATACTTTTCTACTGTTTCAAAAGTCACATCCCTAGTTCAATCCGCCATAACAAGCTACAAACAAAACGCTGAACCTATTGTAGGTGTATGTTACCTACCTACTTATTTTTCGTAGGCATTTCCTATCTATATGATAATAATTATATTTGTGGTAGTTTTTACTTTGTACAGAATTTATATGACGAGAAAAGAAAATAATTGAATAAATAATGTACACTTCTTTCTATGGTTGTTCTAATACAGCCATCTCTTTTTCCAACCTATTGAAGTAGCAAGTGAGAGCGAGACATCTCCATTGTTCAACACTGACGCTGACAAAACATTACTTTCGAGTAAACGTCAAACCACGACTTTGGTAGCGTTTCAACGTCATAAACATTTTTTAGCATAAAATTTGTCATTTCATATTGGGAACCAATTTAAAAAAAAAAACATGTTTGTAGAATTCTTAAGCTGATTAATATCAAAGAGAACTTATAGTTTTGATCTCAAAGCCCCATATTTTCTTTTATTATTAAAGTCAACAAATACTGTTTGATTTTACCGTCTCCTTTCTCTAGTTAATATTAATTTATGCTGAAAATGAATTCGAAGTAACAAATTGACTGTGGAACGCGCGCTCTATTTAGTTTTTATCCGCTTGCCTGGCGCTTCTAAGTTAGAATTTCTAATTTTTAACGAAGAAATCTCACTTAAACAATTATTTTCAGTCTGATGCTGTGTTAATAATGGGGGCTAAAACGCCTGAACAAGTTAACAAACCACGTACGTTAAAGTGTGACGCTTGCGAGCGAAAATTCGTAAATCTTCAAGCGCTGATTTCGCACAAGAAATTTTTACATACAAAAACCGAGACACCGAGACGTTCGGCGTTAAAAAAGCAAGAAGATGCTAAACTATCTAAGAAGAAGGTTATACCAGTGAGTATGTTGAAAAGAGTGAATCCTCCCACGCCGGCGAAAACACCGGTAAAAACTGCTGTCGATAAGACTCCAGATTTAGCGGGAAAAGATTCGAACCAGCCAAAGAAGCCTCATTTCGAGTGTCCAGTATGTTTTAAGAAGTTTCCTGTGTACTTTACTGCGTTCAGACATATACAGAAGAACGCGACGTGCTGTATTGACGAAAAAGGGAACAAAGTGTGAGTATTGATGTGTTGTCATTTGTTTCTCATTCTCATCAACTATGATATGTAATCAGTTTATATTTCCAACCAATTTTCTGTCCAAATCATGTTTTATGGTATAATTGTGGTCTAGTTTCAAGGAGGTTTTATTATGTGCTACCTGTTGCCTGCAGTAGCTGTACTTATCGCCCGAATATTGAAAGGCTACTCAATTTTTAATCGTACTTAACCCGTATATCCCTAAGCGGCCACCGGTGACCGCTCTCCACTAACTACATTATAGACCTTATTTCCAATGTTTAGAGACTACTTTTGTATGAACAAATTTAAAGAATGAATTTCAACAATTTTCATTGAGTTAAATATCATGCTATCTATGTCTTTTTACAAAGAATTTGTATTTACAGAACTAAGTTAGTGTAGTTTATAATTGAGTGGTGTTTGAGTATTTCAGCATAAGAGTAGTGTCAAGCTTCCTATCTCTAGTGTAAAACTAAAGTCATGTCATTAAATCACTCTAATGCAATGTGAGAAAGACATACAACCACACTTTTACATTTTTAATATTAATTTAATACTTTTTATTATATGTATAAAGCCAATGTGTATGTTTGTTTGTTTGTCACATCAAAATGTCTTAATGAATCGAGATGAAATTTGGAACAGGGGTGGTGTATACTGTGTACACATAGGCCACTTTTAATCCCATTAGAATGCAGCAAAGCTGCTAGCAAAAGCTATAAACCACCATGAGATAACATCATCGACACATAATTTTTAGCATACTCTGTGTTGTATATACTTTTCCTGCCATTGTCCATTTTAGCATACTCTGTGTCGTATTTACTTTTCCTGCCATAGGCCAACAGGAGGAAATACCAATTGGAATATGTGGGACCTATGTAGTTACTTTGTTTTTATACAGGGTGTCCCTGAAATCTACGATCAAATGGCACCAGGTAGTCGTCAAGGTTCCTACAGATATCAGAAAAAATATTTTAAAAAATTCAAGACATATAGTTTTTAAATTACAATGACTTATGTTTTATTTATGAAAAATTACACCCTGTGCTAGTCTTTTGAGTTTTGACTCTTGTTGCTACGATTCTTTATTTTTTAGTCTGTACTTTTGCTTACATTATTCTGAATAGTGCTTTAACCCGTTGAAATTCATCCCCTAAATTTGTTCATACAAAAGTAGTCTCTAAGCATGTAGGTAGTCAAATATGAACGCGCAAGATTTGTATTAAAAAATATTTATTTATTAATTACACGTGTGCTCAGCATGAGCTTTAAAATGATAATGAACAAAAGAACATCTGAACTAAGATTATATGGACTTATATACTACTGAAAAGCTTTACATGTGTGTGTCTGTGGCTGGACCTCGCAGTTGGCCAGCAACAGGGATCTGTCGATCTAATTTCTTTAACTGTTTTGATAAACATTAATTTTATGAGAATTGGCCATTAGACACTCGAATCTAGAGGCTACCTGGAACTGCTGGGTGGCATGGTGTGATGTTGAGTTGACTGTTACTAAACGAGGTAAAGGTTGGCTACGCATAACTAGGTAGTGGAGAGCGGTCACCGTTGACCGCTTTGGGATCTATGGGTTAATATTATTGAATCAAATATTCTGAGCCAACTGCTATAGTTTAGAAAAAAATTTCGTTTTTAGACAAACCAAGTGTTAGTAGATAACACATAAGCCATTATTAAAAAACTATCTGACTTGGACTTTTTCAAATATTTTTCTGATAACTGTTGGTACCTTGCCGATTACTTGGTGCCATTTGATCGTCGACTTCAGGGACACCCGTATAATTATGTGTTGTCCTTTTCATAGTATTTTTGTACATAAATAATATTGTTAAACTCTGTTAGCAAATACTGCAAAGTCTACCTCAACAAAGCACCAAAAGAAACTCAACCATATACATGTTTAGCTACTTCATTGTAATACTTAGGTTTAATTTTTGTATTCGACAAGCGACCACATCAAAATCGGTTGCATAGTTTTAAAGATCTAAGCATACATCCCTATGTACAAACAGACGCGGATAGCGACTTTGTTTTATACTATGTAGTGATTATAGGATTCATGTGCCTTTTAGGTAAAAATATCCTATATTTATAAAATTATCGGGTAAAAAAAACTAAAAATCGTGGGTTACTCATGTGAAAATACTGAGAAAATCTCTACTAGTTTCGAGCTACAGAGGGTCTCTTCCTCATGAGCAACGTGCACGGTCGCGGCGATGTCGCGATGGCGCGCAGCCTACTGGCTAGCGTTGTTGTTGTTACTTGCGTTGCGAACCCGCCGCGCCCTCTGCCCGCGCGTTTGCGTCCATCTCCAGCGGCGTTTAAATAATTAAATAATTTTAAAATATCAATTATGCCTATTTCAGCCCAGCAAACTCAACGAACCTAGTAAAACCGATCCGCGTAGAAATCTGCTTAACCTGTGAAGATGAGACACGGTCAACAGAGCTGCATGACTGTCCGAAGGCACCGAGCAGCATTGATCTCTACGAATGTTTGGGATGCAAACAAGTTTTCAACGGACTACAGTTGTACCAGCATCATGTTAAAGGGTTGCATTCGGACGGTGCACAGAATTATTTCTTTCCTAGTCGAAAAGGTATGTTTTCGTATTTTTCGTATTATTTTGTTTTATGGCATAAGCCGGTAAACGAGCAGACGGATCACCTGATGGTAAGCAATCGGCGTCGCCCATGGACACACGGAACACCAGAGGCGTTGCAAGTGCGTTACCGGCCTTTTGGGGATTAGGAGTTTCAGGAATTGAGGAGATTGGGGAAGGTAATTGGGCCTACGGTAACCTCACTCACACGACGAAACACAACGCAAGCGTTGCTTCACGTCGGTTTTCTGCTCGGCCGTGGTATCACTCCGGTCGAGCCGGCCGGAGTAATTGTGGCCGGTACATGGCAATAGGCTCACCCCCTATTACATGGAACTCATAACTTAAAAAGTGAAAAGAGGGTGTTACATTGTACAGTGGCATAATGTACACCTCTGCCTACCCCTATAAATAAAAGGCGTGATGATATGTATGTATGTAATGTAAGAAATTAATTTCAAAAATAATCTTTTTACAGAATTCACTCTATGGAAAAAGAGTCTGCAGGAACAAACTAAAGTCGAATTCGCACAGCTTAACCGACCGAAAGCGAAAGACGTATTCCATTGTTCGCACCAACCAACCAAAGTGACAGATAACACACAATTGTGCCCTTCTATGATAATTGCACGAACATATAGTAAAGGAATCCACATATCTTACTTAAAAGATCACCACGGACATACCGCAGACAGTACACCGTTAAAGAATTATTCTCAATACTCAATATCCTTGTATCCAAGAGAAATGGAACTCAAAGAACTGTCTGATGATTCAGAACTATATTTACAGTTCAAAAACATTATAATGTCCGTAGCACATGATGCTGTTAAAGCGGACATGACAATGTTGAAAGAATTAATAGGCAAAGCTCTAGAAATGACTACATTATTAAAGGGATTGAAGAATAATGATCTTACTACTGCTACGGTCAAGAAAAAGTTGTCCGATGACCAAATTACTAAAACGTTAGATAGCTTGCTGACTAGGACGGGGAAACGCAAACAGACCGTAGAACCAAAAGAAACCAAGAAAGAAGTACCCAAGAGATTAAAAAGGAACTCTACGTTTGTAGAAATTACAGTTGAAAACAACATAGCAACGGCTAAAGCTACTCCGGTACCTAAATCTGTTACATTTAAAAATACAACAAAGAATAATGAAACAAAAAGTGACTCTGAATTATCACAGACCGATACAGAAGACTCACTAAAAACTATACTAAAAGCAAGCGAAGTACTTCAAAACACATCTAAGAAAGCGGATGACACATCAGAAACATCCTCTTCGAAAGCAGATGATGATAAAAAGGATGAACCGTTAAGGTCAGCGTTGCAATCTCCGTCTTCCTTCAACGATTCATATATGAACTTCGTTGGCCAGAATTTCAGATCTAGTCTAGAATCGAGTACGCCTAAAGTTAGACCTAATATAAGAAAGAAAGAAATAATGAAAACTAAAATAGGACAGTTTAAAGCCAAGAGTTTGTCTCCTAGGGAACCTATGTCACCAAAGTCACCAAATAAAGTTAAAAATAAAGAAAAAAGTAAAGAAATTACTAAAGAAAACACTCCTACTAAGAATTGGTCGACTAAAGACTTAAAATATGAAGTCAAAGAGCAAGAAAACGATTACAATATTCTTATATTGAAGATTTAAATCGAATTTAGTGGTTTAATGGACTATTTGGTGCAAGTCACTTCCATTTGACTGATGTGGAACTCGTTGGGGGAGGACTGTGTGATACAGTGAACAGTGTGGTGATGATTTCGTCAAAATTCTGTCTACATAGTGATTCTAAAGGTACGGTTATCATCTAGATTGCGCGTTAGTTCCGGTACGCCGCGCTACGTGTAGCGGGCCCGGGAACAACTCTGTGTGATCCACAAATTGTTGTTCCAAGTCTGGGTGTCATGTGTATGTGAACTTGTATGTTTGTAAACGCACACACGACACAGTAGAAAATCCTAGAGTGGGGCAATATTTTTAACAGAAAGCAAAAAATAAATTGAAACGTTTTTTTAATTTCCATAAAAATTGAATTTGGTGATTCAAGTCTTCCATAGTAGTAATTTAATAATCAAAGTTATTGTAAAATTAAAATCTGTGTTCTGTAAATTCGTTATTCCAATTGGTCGCTACGTTAGCGTGACTTTTGATTTCTTTGCCTCGGGAGTAATAGGGTAGTTTCCTAAATTTTATTTTAATGTCCGTCTGGTTTTAATTTAAAACTTGTAACAAATATATTGCAAACTAGCTTTTACCCGCGGCTTCGCTCGCGTCATAAAAGGATAAAAGTAGCCTATGCGACATATACTAATACACACAGCGCCATCTATACCAATACTTTTGTTTTCCCTCGGGAATATCACATTTTTTCGAGATAAAAAGTACCCTGTTATTTAATCCGGACTTCTAACTTTACGTTTGTAAAAATTCAAAGCAATCGGTTTAGTAGTTACGGCGTGAAAGCGGAACAAACAGACAAACTCACTTTCCCATTTATTATATTAGTAAGGATTGTAACAAATATTCAAATTCAAATTCATTTATTCAATTGTGAACATAGGTAACATTAGGGTCTTAAATAACAATTTTAAACGCTATGTTGGCTTTTTCAGCATACAAAATTAGAAAATAGTTGGAAACAAAGATTTGGAATGATTATTATTACTTAATGTCATTAGAATTATTAATTATTAGGTCACATAAGATTAAAAATTTAAATGTCACAATATTAAACAATCAGAATGTCAATAGTTAAATAAAAACAAGATAAAAATTATTAAACAAAATAAAATAAAAATACATCATATTTTGTCGTCTAAGTACTCAGTAACACTATAATATGCCTTAGAGATTAAAAACCTTTTTATTCTATTTTTAATATATTCACGTTTCATATTATTGTGTGTTCTACCTGAGAATTGGTTAATTTACAGGATATCAAAATAAAAAATGTAATTAGTCCGTCAGTTAGATAATGTAAAAATATTAGACACGTATTTTTTTTTCTCGTATTAAGTGGCAATACTTAGATAAAATGGCGCTAAGTTTAGGAGTGGGAGGTCGTTACGTCATAACGTGCTACAAAATGTGCCACGCTGTGACGTCACACGATATTTCAAATTAATATATCGTCGAAAGTATAAAATTTTGTGAGAAAAGGAAAAAATACGTGTCTAATGTTTTAACATAATATACCAGACGGACATTAAAGTAAAATTTAGGAAAGTACCATATTCAGCAGTTGCTTTGTCAGACCTTTGTGCATAGGTTGCTATGTGTCGACGTGCTCCATCGTAGACCGCATCATCGCATACCACCAGGCGAGATAGTGGACAAACGTCGGCCCATCAAATTATAAGAAAACTACCATACTTACATTATTTGTATCCATTACTTGGCCATAGGCTTACACCCTATTACATGGGACTCATAAGATAAATAGTGAAAATTGGGTGTTACATTGCCTCTGAATAAAATACATAATTTATTTATTTACATTATAAAAAAACAGTAATATATAGTAAAGTTTAATTTATAAGCAATAAGACTGTTTTTCCAATAGCTTTTGATAAGATTTATAGAAATTGTCAATTATAAATTAATATAGTCAGTCATTTGAACTTGGAAGTACAAAATTCTACTTTATCTTACTGTAATAGAGTCGTAAATAAATAAGTGTTTTTGCCCATGAAATTGCCATTTTTCGAAGACATCATATTGTCTTCGTCATCGACATATACTAAAGGCATGTCCATCCTTAGAGTTAATAATTGTGACACTACGAATGAAAGAGAGGAAACGAAGTTTCGGTCTATCTTTATCTCTCTTAAAATAGTACCGTAGTAAGGACGTTATGAGCGAGAAAGAGATAGCGCTAGACTGAAAGCATAGGCCATCTCTCTCACTCTTTTCAAACCAAAAAATTACTGCAGGTTATACGCGTACGGCATGTCTATTAGTATATGTCGATGGCTATGATCCTCTTGTACAGTTTGCCATATTAAACACGCTTGACGGATTTATCAGTGAGCGTATAGAATGGGGGTAACGTGTTTTTCTTCCTCTACGCCTTATATGGCGCAAAAGTAAGGAGTTTTTTGTCCAATCACAATAGATGGCGTGACACTAGATAATTGGGTACTTTCCTTAATCAAAAATAAATAATATCGACTGTTCAATACAATAAAATATTACAAAATAATCACACTTTCATCAATTGATTTTATGACCAACTGAATTTTAGGATTTTAACAGTGAATTTTTAAGAAATAACTATGCTGTTTGACGCTAAAAAAATGTGACGTCACAATACACAATCTCGTACAAAATTCATAGAAAACTGTCGTTTTTGACAGTTCGAAAAAAAGTATTGAATAGTAAAACGAAGTAGGAGAGGTTCACACTAGCGCAAAGGTGAGCAAAAATACGGTTGGCACCATTGGTTTACGACCCTGAGCCCTTAGTACGAGTTTCATTTACGTTTAAAAGTATTCGAAACGAGACCCGCGTTCGGCCCTGATTGGCCGGCGCCAATGAACCCTGATTGGTTGATTCATAGGAGCCGGCCAATCAGAGTGCCGAACGCGTACTCGTTCCAATTGCTTTAAACGTAAAACAAACTAAGGTAGTACTAAGGTTTCTGATAATCTACACTTTGGAACGAGCAAATAGCTTCACTAGAGGACTTACCGACAGACTGACACTTTCTTTTTATTTGACTTTAAACAGTTCTCTATTTGAAATTATTGATTGTCACTTCGGAGCGCTTCTGCCCAGTTTCTATCGAATATGTAGTCCTTTAGTCGGGTGTAAGACACCCGCGGGAAAAGTAGGTGACATTATGTATTCTACTAGATATGCCATGCCACAGAACTGCAATTTATGGGTAAAGAATATGTATGTATGTGTGTTAAAATAGTTTTTTGTTTTATTTGTCAAGCTATTTTGACTGTTATGTGTTAAAAGTTAAGGATGACATTTGTATTATCAATTATTTTGTGTTTTTTTTTTTCTTTTTTTTTTTTTTGTTGATTAGTTATTCTATAGAAGTTATATTAATAGATGCGTATGTTTTTTATAATAACTATCGTGAGACGTACTAAATCCAATCGCGGGCAGACGCTAGTTGCAAAATAAAACTAGATTTATAATGTATTCATATTTATTTTGGATACCAGTGTCTACTAAAATACGTTGTTAAATTGTACAGTGGCATTAACCTGTGAAGTTTCGGAACACAGATCTATGCTAGACATATTTTTGTATAGTATGTTTCCTATTGTGTCTCATTTATCTACAGACTAGAGGTTAAGTGCCGTAATGTGCACCTCTTCCTATCCCTAAAAGGCGATGTTATGATGTCTGCCATAATATTGTCTAAAACCTTCGTGAAAATGTTTGTTACTATCTCAAGGACGGCTTGAAGGATTTTGATGAAATTTATCATAATGAACAGTTCGTAACCGAGAACCTAACGGGTTACCGGGGCTCCGGCTCGACGTGCAGGAGTAGGAACGGGGTGGTTTTTAGTCAGTAAGAGTCTGACACTCCCTCCCGCCTCACCCAGGCGGGAGCAGTCATTCGATGATTTTCCCCCCTTAAAAAAAGCCTGGTTACGGCCAGTCTCAATAACCTATCTAACTGTTGATTTGCTTACTAAAGCTTGCTTGGTAAAGAATAGACTTTAACTCAGTGCAAAATGTATCGATAGATATTATACTCAAAAAAGAAACATCGGTTTTATAAGCTCTAATTTACCTTGCAATGTATGGAGTTTCTTGCTCGTTCTTCTACATAGGAATATTCACCTTGGAATGAGCAAATAGTTTCACTTTTAATTTTTTGTTGACGTTCAAAAGTGCCTTCCTGGTCTAATTGAAATAAATTATTTTGAGTATGTATGTGTGTGAAGTGGGATCTTGCAACAAAATTTTGAGGCAGATATCTTCTACCGATTGAACTGAAATTTTGTATACACATTTAGTTTCCATGACCATACATGTTAAAATGTCGCGGAGAACCTAACGGGTTACCGGCGCTCCGGCTCGACGTGCAGGAGAAGGAACGGGGTGGTTTTTAGTCAGTAAGAGTCTGAAACTCCCTCCTCCCTCCCGGAGGAGTCATTCGATGATATTCCCCCTTTAAAAAAAATACATGCTAAAATGCACAAAAGCATGTTTTTAAGTTTTTTTTTCCATGTAAGCAAATCTATAGATAGCTTATTGAAAATATGGATTAGGGTTAGTACCTATGCCTTTGACATAAGATTAATACTGTATAATATTACTTAAGTAAGTGCGTGTAAATACATAGAATTTGTTATTTAGTTAAGTTTTGCATAAAAATATGTTGAGATATCAGAAATATGTTTTATTACCTACTGTCCCTGTTTTTAAGTATCACGTATATTAAAGTGTGGGAGAGCCATGCTTCAGCACGAATGGGCCGGCTCGACCAGAGTGATACCACGGCTGAGCAAAAGACTGGCGTGGAACAACGCTTGCTCCCAATCCCTAAATCCCCCACAATCCTCAAATTCCTAATCCCAAAAGTCTGGTAACGCACTTGTAACGCCTCTGGTGTTCCAGGTGTTCATAGGCGACGCCGATTGCTTACCATCAGGTGATCTGCATGCTCATTTCCCGCTTTATCCCATAAAAAATCACATTCATGTCATGGCTAGACTAGTAACCTATTCTTAATAACTAGATGCATAGAGTAACACGGTCCGCCGGTGGCCCGTGTTGCTCTATGAACTAGATGCCACAAATGTAGCAAGAGATTTTTTGTAATTTAAGACCGATTTTTCCAACGCCAGATAAATAACTGAGGAATTTACCATCAGGTGATCCGCTTGCTCGTTAACCTGCTATTCCATAAAAAATTGGTGATTGAAAGATCGTCCATGGTAGGTGACATCAGTTAATTTCTTTATTTGACGAAGATCGAAAAAATGCTACATAACTGCCATCTTGTGGGCAAAAATATAATAACGCACGAAGCGCTTCGCAATTCGCATCAAGCTTCCTTATGCAAACTGCTAAAGAGTAGAATTCTTTGCCAGAGTCTGTATTTCCTGAAGGGTATCATCTGGAAGTCTTCAAGGCCCGAGTGAATATGTTGCTTCTATGGTATGACGTGCTCCATCGTTGACCGCATTATCGCTTACCACCAGGCGAGACAGTGGTCAAACGTCGGCCCATCTATTCCCGGGCTAAAGAAATGCTGGTAATTTTATTGTTCGGTTCTCAAAATCGGTTATAGGAGTATAAAATCTGGAACTTTATGCATTTATCGAATGTGTAGGAACATAACATCTACACTTCTCTGTCTTTTCAGAGGATAAAAAACGTAGATGACACGTTCCGTTACCTACTGGTCTAGTCTAAACGCTTTTCACATTCTTGCATAACATAACATCACGCCTTTTATCCCCGAAGGAGTAGGCAGAGGTGTACATTATGCCACTGTACAATGTAACACCCACTTTTCACTTTTATTTATGTTATGAGTCCCATGTAATAGGGGGTGAGCCTATTGTCATATACCGGGTACAATGCCAGACTCCGTGCTACTACTGTGATTTTTATTTTTATAAAACCCAGTGTTACTTTGCCCGACCCGGGAATTGAACTCGAGACCCCTTCTTACCCAGCAGTCGCACTTGTGACTGTAGTGTCTATTAAGTTTATCGAGATAAATAAAACTAATGCACTAACGTTATAAAGTCTATATAAGTATAAGTATTAAAATAAGAAATAAGTATACAATAAAGAGATTAAATAAAGTTACAGTTATACAAAACGAGAAGAGAATAATAATTTCGATGCGCGCGCGATCGCTAGCCGTGGCAGACTGTGTGGGCGAGCGAGGGGGCGCGTGCGGGTCGAGCGCGGGGAGGCGACGGCGACGACAGCGCTCGGTGTGTCGATCGGGTGGCTCCACGAATACGCGAGGCGTCCGAGTCCATCAACGCGGGCCGGGGCTCCGCTAGCGGCCGGGCCGTGTGTAGGTATAGCTAAGGGTGTGTACAAGCGTGCGGAAGCATGCCGTGTACAAATGTTGTAAAGTTTTTAAGTGTTATAGTATGAATGTGGGTGTATGTGTATGTATGTATGTATGTATGTTTTATGTAAGTATTTATTATGTATATTATCTTGTACCTTAGCTATATCCTATATGACCATTCAGCCAACGAGGCAGTCACAGGCAGTAAAAAGCTAAACTAAAACATAAAAGTAAAAAGCTGTGAAAGCATAACAGAAACACATTAAATTCAAATTTTCTCTTAAAAATAAATGTTTCATCGACTGCACGTTTACTGAAACGAAACGTAGCTGACAGTGAAAAATGTGTATGTCAATATTCAAAAAATTCAAACGAGTGTCAAAATTGGCAACAGCAACGGTCGTTCGCGTGTTGTTATTTTCGTTCTACTAAATGAAAACTCGAATAAATGTGAATTATAATAATTATATTAATAGATGTAACTAGAAAAGTGTTTTATTTAACATTATCTTAAGTTTAACTGAAGAATAAACGAGCAAAATGCAGGGCGTGTCTAAAAACAGTAAGTTGTTGTTTACTTTTTGAACTATGATATAAAATTAATTAAATCCAAGTGTTATTTTACTTTTCATTGATATATTTCTAGATAATTGTGCGTAGTATTGATGAATAGTTTTGTTTTGCCATTTTTTATCGAAACAAAGTAAGTTTTATGTTAGATTCTACCGTTTATTGTTATGGTACGAAATATTTTAAACCAGTCTGAGTTTTCGTATAATATCGATTATTTTCAATTGAAATAGCGTATATAACATCTAAAATCTGTCTATTTGTTAATTAAACATTGGATTAAGTATTAGTAAATAAATGAATAATCATAAGTTTTCTAGCAAACATCATTAAATAGAAACAGACTATTCTCAACAGAAAACACACACAACTATAATAGGTACTGAACAGACCATTAGTACATTAGTTGATAAAGTATTTTATAGTTACAATCATTTTATATTTCTCTTGGAGGTAATCATATTATCTTAATATAACATCACGCCTTTTTATCCCCAAAGTGGTAGATAGAGGTGCACATTACGGCACTAAATGCTACTGTACAATGTAACACCCACTTTTCACTAAATAGGACTTATAACATAAATATGTTATGAGTCCCATGTAATAGGGCGTGAGCCTATTCCAAACTCTATGATACTAATGAGATTTATCTTAAAACTCAGCAATACTTTGCCCGACCCAGGAATCGAACCGAAGACCCCTTGCCCAATATTTGCACTAGCGACCACACTACCAATGAAACGGAATCTTTTCAGAGTAGATATTTAATTACAAAATACCAACATCATTTACCACATATAGAAAACGAAACGATTGTCGACAATAACCAATATTCAATAAACCATATTAAAAAACTCATTTTACCATTCACAGAGCTATCAGAACTCCAAACGATTATAACTCGGATGCCATTAGAAGTGTTCTGTGTAACCGCACTCCCCGAGTTTGGTGTCCGATGGAAGGAACTATCCAAAGCTGTCCGCAATGCACGGTTACCGATGCAGCCGGCCAGTGTAGCCAGGGTGTTGTGCAGACATGTATCCAAGGCATTGACAATTGATGAAATTGAAGATATCGTTGCGAGGTTGCGGTTGAAATGTGAGTATTATATTATTATGTAGCACCAGCCACGCTGCACCCTCCTCAGTAGTCATGGGTGGATTATTAATTGTTATATTTGTTTTTTTAAATATTGCCCCACAATAGGTTTGTCTCTTGTGTCGTAGGTGCATTAATAAATATACCCGTTCACATACACATGACACCCAGACTTGAAAATAAATATTTTTTGGAGATCACACAAAGAGTTGCTCCATATTGTGTATATAATGTATTGTGAACCTGGAACCCCTCTGGTGTTCCAGGTGTCCATGGGCGCAGCTGATTGCTTACCATCAGGTGACCCGTCTGCTCGTTTACCGGCTTATCCCATAAAAAAAGAAACCTTTGTTTAAGGCTTTGACTGCCAATAAAAAACTGTTGAAATCAATTTCTCATCTAACATCGGTCACCGGTGACTCCCAATGGCGTCTAATCACTACATCTATCTATATCTATATCTATTCTATACATTTAATAAAATTGTAGAAAAGTGCTGTCTGTACATTGAAAATAAAAATAAAAAAAATAGCAGGGGTTATTGTTATGTCGATGTCGAACCCAAAAATGTAATTAACTTTTTTTTTGTCTGTTTGTCTGTTCACGCTAATCTCAGAAACGGCTGATCCGAGTTGGATGCGGTTTTCACGAATATATTGTGGTATGCTTCAGTTATGCTTTAGTGTTTGTTTCATGTCAATCGGTTCATAAATAAAAAAGTTATGTCAAATTAAAGAATCACGTCGTGAGTATATATTATTAAAAAAAAACGCTGCTCATAGTCACTATTCCACGTGAACGAAGTCGCGGGCACAGCTAGTAGTATAATATAAAACAAAGTCGCTATCCACCGTCTGTCTGTCCCTATGTATGCTTAGATCTTTAAAACTATGCAACGGATTTTGGTACAGTTTTTTTTAATAGAAAGAGTGATTCTTAAGGAAGGTTTATATGTATAATACATGCATATTGCACCTGTGCGAAGCCGGGCCGGGTAGCTAGTGTGTTAATAAAGCTTGCGTCATTTCGCCGCTTGTGTGCCGCGACGTAACAACACCCTAATTGAGGACGCCTCTTACAACAGGGTACACATTCTAAATTAACTAAAAATCACGCGTTACTCACGTGAATCGCTGCTCTTGGAAAATAGCCACTCTGTGGCTCGAAACTAGTAGACCTTTTCTCAGGACATCACGTGAGTATCCCGCGATTTTTAGTTTATTTAGTATGTCTCACGATAGTTATTATAAAAAAGACACATGCATCTATTAATATAGCTTCTATAGAATAAACAATCAAGAAAAAAAAGAAAAAAAAACCACAAAACAATTGATAATACAAATGTCATCCTTAACTTTTAACACGTAACATAACATCACGCCTTTTATCCTCGAAGGGGTAAGCAGAGGTGCACATTATACCACTGTACAATGTAACATCCACTTTTCACTATTTATGTTATGAGTCCCATGTAATAAGGGGTGAGTCTATTGCCATACACCGGGCACAAATCCAGACTTCGTGCTACTACTGAGAATTTTTTTTAAAACCAAGTAATGCTTTGCCCGACCTGGGAATCGAACCCGAGACCCCTTACCCGGCAGTCGCAATTGCGACCACTCGGCCAACGAGGCAACTTTTAACACATAACAGTTAAAATTGGTCTGAAAGATAATTTTAACACTTATTAAAATTGTTTCACAGTGGTAGCCACCCAGCCTCGCATGTGGCACGTGATAAGACTCTGGGAGAAGACCACGGAGGAACCAGTCACCGTCACCATGAGAGCAGTCCCCGGCAGGATCACACAGGCGTTGAGAAAGAGCAAGAAGACCATGAGGCCAGAGGTCAGTTGGATAGCTATAGTTTTATGATACCTAATGTTCGGGGTTGGGGTGAGTTTAAGATAAACTCTAGGATGTAGAATGAAAGATATATTTCGATACTAATGGGTTAACTACTAAGTCTAATGAGGTGAATGAGATGAGATTGAGTAGCGTCCGTATTCACAAACGTACTGAACGTACTGAGCGTTTTTACCTAAGTAATACATAATATAATAATAATAATAATTATAAATCTGAAAGTGAGTTTGTTTGTTTGTTCCAACTTCACGCCTTATCTACTAAACCGATTGCTTTGATTTTTTGCAGACGTAAAGTTAGAAGTCTGGATTAGATAATAGGGTACTTTTTATCCCGGAAAAATTGTATATTTCCGAGGGAAAACGTAAGTATTGGTATAGATGGCGCTGTATGTATTGGTATATGTCACATAGGCTACTTTTTATCATTTTGTGACGTGAGCGAAGCCGCGGGTAAAAGCTAGTACATAATATATTCATGACATATTGCGGTGTGTCGCAATTACGGTGACATGATTAGTATACTTAGCGTATTACAATTATTTGTTCGGTGATTGACCAGAACACCTAATAATAATCATAATGTTCACGCCTTTTAATCTTCTTAGAGGAAGGCAGAGATGTATAATGTAGCACACATAACATAACATCCACGCCTTTTATCCCCGGACGGGTCGACAGAGGTGCACATTACGGCACTCAATGCCATTGTACAATGTAACACCTACTTTTCACTATTTATATTATGAGTCCCATGTAATAGGGGGTGAGCATATTGCCATATACTGGACACATTTCCAGACTCCGTGCTACTACTGAGAATTAAAAAAAAACCAGTTATATATTGTCCGACCCAAGAATCGAACCCGAGACCCTCTTGTAGTCGAATTTGCGACAACTGGGCCACCACGGTCGAGCAGAAAACCATAGTGGAACAACGCTTGAGTGAGATTACCGGAAACCCAATTACTCCCTCACTCCTACCCGATCTCCCCAATATCTGAATCTCCAACAATCGTCAAATTCCTAATCCCCAGGCCGGTACCGCACTTGTAACGCCCCAAGTATGTAACCGGGGCTCCGGCTCGACGTGCAGGAGAAGGAATGGGGTGGTGTTTAGTCAGTAAGAGTCTGACACTCCCTCCCGCCTCACCGAGGCGGGAGCAGTCATTCGATGATTTTAGCCCCTTAAAAAAAAAAACGCCCCAAATATTGCGACCATCAGGTGATCCGTCGGCTAGTTTACCGGCTTATCCCATAAAACCTCCACTTTTATACCTACGATTATAATCAACCCTCCTTCCGTCAACAGGTACAAACAGTCCTCTTAGGTGACATGCTGTACCTCAGCATACAACTTGTTTCCGAACACAAGTCGGGCTCCGCCCTCTATGTGGCGACGCCCCCCGGGGAGCCCGTGGCATTGGTCTCCAGCGTCAACATGGTTGGACTGATCAAGGCTACTGTCGAAGGTTAGTATGGTAATTCTGTACTTGCCAACTAGTCAAATTCAATACTTTTTTCGAACTGTCAAAAACGAGAGTTTTCTATCAGAATTTTGTACGAGATTGTGTATTGTGACGTCACGTTCTTTTAGCGTCAAACGTCGTACCACCTTCCACCCACTTTTTACTATTCATGTTATGAGTCCCATGTAATAGGGGGTGAGTCTATTGCCACATACCGGGCACATTTCCAGACTCTGTGCTATTACTGAGAATTTTTTTTAAACCCAAATTACTTTGCCCGTCCCGGGAATCGAACTCGAGACCCCTTGCCCGGCAGTCACACTTGGCCAACGAGGTAGTCTGTTATTTGATCATAACACTAAAGATAATGTTAAAACTTGAATTATTTTTCTTCCAGGGCTAGGGTACAAGTCTTACGAAATCGCAGACCTCCACGGCCGCGATATACAATCCCTCCTTCGCATAAATGACCGCGCCTGGAATGCGAACGCCGACCACCTAGCGGAGATCCCCGAATACGCCCCTACTCCAGTAATCACCGAAACTGGCATAGATTACACATACAAAGCGTATGATGAAAACTACGTGGAAAATATCCTTGGACCGGATCCGCCCAAAATAACGGATTTAACGATAAAAACTTCTAAATCTTTCTTCGATAGAAGTCGTTTGGATAAGAATATTAATATGACTATTCAGATCAAGACTGAAGACTTGGCGAAATCCTTGAAATCTTGGGTTTCCAAAGGTGCTATAGCTCCGACGTCGGATTTGATTAAAATCTTTCATGAAATTAAATCTAATAAGATTAGTTATACTAGGGACGATGATTGAGTGGTCTTTGTGTTGTCTACATGATTGGGAACATTGTTTTTTTAATTATTATGTTTTCGGCTTACTCGCGTAGTAATACGACGAGGAACTCGTTTCAAGCCATGCTAGAGCGTGCGTGTTTTGCGTCGACCCGGGATTCGAACCCAACAACACCAACGCAGCTCGGCGGGCGAGTCTAGCGTGCCAACAGTGCCACGCGCGCCGCCGTCGTCGATACCACGAATGGAAGAAAGTGCGCGGGAATCACGGCAGAGGGCGCGCTGGGCGCAGACTCGAGTAGCCAGTAGCAGCGACAGTCGCCGCGTCGCGGGTCGCGAAATGCTGCTCATGAATATGAGCCTCTAGCATGGCTTGAAACTAGTCGAGTTCCTCGTCGAATTACTACGTGAGTAAGCCGAAAACATAATAATTTATTTAGTATGTCTCACGAAAGTTACAATACAAATATTGTTTTTTTTTTATAAAAAAGAAAAATGTTTAATTATTATTGTGTTTTATTTCGTTTGCGACAATCCATGCTTCAATAATAACTGGACAAATATTTAGATTTAACTCGTGTACCATCTCTGCTGCATGAGCGTTTATCTGCGAGCGGGAGGCGGTGTCACATACTTTCCTTATGGCATCGAGCATTTATTTCTTTATTGAATCAAAGAGTTTCCTTTTTCTTGTATAGAAGCACTATTTTTATTGATTGTCAGTATGCATATGTCAGCACCATGTTAGACTATTTTTTTTTTAATTTTAGTAAGTTTTATAATTAGTATAATGCGTCAAGCGTATCTTTGCATTGTTCTCATATATACATACAGTATTGAAATATGTATCAGAGACATTGTAGAACATACTTTTTTAAAAGGAGTAACGAATGGAGTTTCTTGCTCGTTCTTCTCCATTCGAATCTACATTTTGAAATGAGCACCTAGCTTCACCTAGCTTCACTGACGGACTGACTGACAGACTATTATTTATTTTGTACTTGTTGACGTTTCAAAAGCACCAATTTATGTATTAATCGAAATAAATGCTTTGACTGCATGCTGCAAATTCATTCCTTTAGCAGAATAAAACTAAATATTTTTCCAGTTATTAGCATTCGTTTGTATTTGTTATCTTAGCTTTAATTTAAGATTATAAACATACTAATATTACTGTTAAGATGTAAATACAATATTAAAATACATACACTATTGTGACATACTCATTGTTGAAATAAAAATCTTAATATATAAATTCTTCTGTGATTGTACATGTCACTGAACTTCTCTCAAACGACTGGACCGATTTTGATTAAATTTTTTGTGTGTGTTCAAAGGGATCTGGGAATGGTTTAGATTCACAAATCAGCCCGGCAGATGGCGCTGCAGTCAGTGTCTAGGTTATTTAAACCTCTCTTGAAATATCGTAATAATATGCAGGACAACGTCTGTCGGGTCCGCTAGTAATCATCTAAATCCGTTCACAAACACTGGAGCAATCGCGTAACATCGTAACATACACAAAAAAGAACACAGTCGAATTGAGAACCTCTTCCTTTTTTTTGTAGTCGGTTAAAAATAATTCATTGATTAATCCGTACACAGATCTACGAGATGTGTTTTCTATTGTATATCAAGGACGTTGAAAAATAGACGGCCATAATGTCACTTAGAAATTATTGAAGCACCAAAATGTACATAGTGTATTCATGTGTGCGTGTACTTGCAGCACCGTAATGTATGAAGTGTAATGACGCGCCATGTCACGCGACAGATGTCCTTCGTGTCAATGTGTGTATATTCTGTGTGTAAGTGTATAGTAGCCAGGTGCCACAGTCGTTGTTTCAAGAGGCTATGTCCGCCTTTTCTTCAACGTACTTGGTGTCTTGTAATTAAGCTGTTAAATTGTGTTTTTACGATAATTAAAACAATGATATATAAGAACATCACGACTTTTATTTTCCATAGAGATAACAGAGGTGTGACTATGATCACTGCGAATCAGTTAACCCTTTGAGTATCGTCATTATAGACACAATTAAAGAACAATAGGTGTTCTTTAATTGTGACACCGGTGACCGCAACCTATTGTCTTTAATCTGCTATATAAAAATAAGTCGGATTTTCATTCCTGACGCTATAACTCCAGAACGCACGAACCTATTTCCACGGTTTTGCATTCGTTGGAAAGGTCTCGGGCTCCGTGAGGTTTATAAAATATAAAACAAAAAAAAAATCTTCATTTTTTTATCACCAAACGAAATGTTACATAAAACGAAGCCATCTGGTGGCGAAACGGAGTTCGCCCGGTTTGCTAGTTGTGTCTATAATGACGGTACTCAAAGAGTTAATCATCTGAATTCCTTTCGGTTGGTCTGCGCGAATCGAACTCGCCACTTGAACGCCAGCCACTCCGCCAATCATACAGTGAAACTTCACTGTAGAAGCACCAACTAAATATAGTTTCTGTCGATGACATAACATCACGCCTTTTATCCCCGAAGGAGTAGGCAGCGGTGCATATTACGGCACTTAATGCCTCTACAATGTAACACCCACTTTTCACTATTTATGTTATGAGTCCCATGTAATAGGGAGTGAGCCTATTGCCATATACCGGGCACAATTCTAAAATCTGTGTGTTACTAGGTACTAAGCATTTTTTAAAAACCTAGTAGTACTTTACCCGACCCGGGAATCAAACCCGAGACCCCTTGCCACCATCGCACTTGGCCAACAAGGCAGTCGATTATTAAGTATTAATATGAAGTCATAAAAAAAAACAAGTCTACACTAGGATTGTCTTGTGCCACGGGTGGTTTTCCAATCACATACCTACACAAGACACCCAGACCCGGAACAACGTAGGTCACACCATGAATAACTCCAGTTGGGAATGAAACCCGCTACACGTTTCATGGGGCTTCTTGTACACACACGTTTTTCGCCGTAAAAATCTGCGGTAAATTCACCGTGTGTAGGCACGGCTGTCAGTGTTGTATGGACCACTGTAGAATCTTGTTGACATACACGGCGGCTTTACGTTCCGGCGCCGCCGCCGTGTTCGCCGTGCGTCCCCCTCGGCACGCCGCCGCGTCTGCACACGGCGCCATTTTGATCATTGTTGTATTGCAGTCTATGATGCGAACGTGTCGACGGTACCGGACGTTTTAACGTTTTCGTGACGGATTACATACGCTCATTTTGTATTACGAGTAAAATGAACATAAATCAAGAATTACTAATTACACTAGTTCATGAAAGACCTGTAATATGGGATAAGACTATTGACGATTATAAAAATAAGCGGCTTAAGTACGATTCTTGGAAAGAAATCTTTAGAAAGCTGCAGAAAAATGTGAACTGAGCGGCACCTGGCCGTTGTCTCGACCGGTAGCTTCGCCGTGCCATGTACAAGCTTGCACGTTTTGTTAACCGGGGTGGTACGTAGGCCTCTTGGCCTGGCAGTCGTGCCAACTGTGCAGTCAATTTACCCACCCTTCCCAAATGCCTGAATCCCTCAACAATCCTGAAATTCCTAATCTCAAAAGGCCGGTAACGCACTTGTAACGCCTCTGGTATTCCAGGTGTCCATGGGCGACGCCGATTGCTTACCATCAGGTGATCCGTCTGCTCGTTTACCGGCTTAACCCATAAAAAATCAATACTAGTTGTTCAATGTAGAAATAATCTTTGTAAGAGGTGAACTTCGTCATCAGCGCCGTAAATAGGGCGGTGCCAGCGGTGCCCAGGCCCAGGGCGCAGACCCTGGAGGGGCGCAGAAATGACCAAACCGCCCTACTGTACTATCTAAATCTGTATCACATTCTTAAACAATCTTGAATCCACAACACATGTCAAACGACTTACGACACATCAGACAAATGTATAACCACCTTAAGTCTTGCTCGCAATATTACATACACAAACAAAAGTAGGTAGGTACCTATACTATAATTTTCACTGATATGCCACAAAAATAAATCTTCAAAATATGTATATATTTTTCATATAAAAAAAAATTACAAATAAAACACATGACAGAGCTAATTCATAGATTACTTAATAGTTACTACGTAAACTTCTTATTAATTGCCCTTTTAAGAACGCATCCAATATTTACTAATATCTGAACGGATCCATATTCGGACGGGGATTCCCTGATACATCGAGAATTACGCATTCAGATTTTGTTTTGACCACGTCCGGGGAAACCGGAAGATTATAATTATGATAATTATTGATTGTTTTATCAACCATAGTCATTATTAAAATTGTGTGTAAGACTTAAGAGTGAATACGTTTATAGCTGATTTGTTTCATTGATAAACTCGATAAAGTAAGTTAGAAAATTGTATTGCAGGTAAAGGTGTAGGACATGTATTCTCCCAATAAGAATATTTAAAAGTGTTACATAGGAAGTATAGGTATTATCATTTATTCAAATAAAAACTTAAATAAAATAAAAACGAACCATTACTAAATTAAATATATACAACTTACCAAGATTAAAATTAATTAAAAGAAAAACAAAAACAACTATTTACATAAAGCATCGAAAAATTCGTCCGCATCGACGTCAGTGGGGAAAGTACCCAGAAGGCTGGCCGCATTGCCACGTTGTATGGCAATGCTTAACCGCTGACCGAGAAAAAGACTAGCCCTCTGGTCACGAGATGTGTCGACCAGGCGTTTCGAAATGTTTTTGAATAATTTAAACGCACTCGGACCCGATTCTCGCGCACTCGGATTCTTAAGTTGACACATCTCGTGACCAGAGGGCTGGTCTTTTTCTCGGTCAGATTTTAAGCATTGCCATACAACGTGGCAATGCTGCCAGCCTTCTGGGTACATTCCCCATAGGAAGTTGAATGAAGATTATATTATTTGATAAATGTGAATGTCAGTCAAGTATGGGTCTTCTCAAAGCTATAGTTGAACTGGATTTAGAGGAAATATTTCCCAATGTAATAGTCGCTATAAATATACCTATTTTTATCCATGCGAGTTACTGTAGCTTCC